AGGTACGAATTCATCTTTTGGACGACGTTCGAATTCTCCTTCTGGGAACAAGTTGTCTTCGGGTTTTTTAGGTTTTGGTCGTTCAGCAGGTAAGAATTCGTCTTTAGGACGACGTTCGAATTCTCCCTCCGGATGTAAATTATCTTTTGGTTTCTTCTGTTTCGGCCGTTCAGCTGGTACGAATTCATCTTTAGGACGACGTTCGAATTCTCCTTCTGGGAACAAATTGTCTTCGGGTTTCTTCGGTTTCGGTCGTTCAGCAGGTACGAATTCGTCCTTCGGACGACGTTCAAACTCTCCTTCAGGATGTAAATTATCTTTCGGTTTTTTCTGTTTCGGTCGTTCAGCTGGTACGAATTCATCTTTTGGACGACGTTCGAATTCTCCTTCTGGGAACAAGTTGTCTTCGGGTTTCTTCGGTTTTGGTCGTTCAGCAGGTACAAATTCGTCCTTTGGACGCTTTTCGAATTCTCCCTCGGGATGTAAATTATCTTTTGGTTTCTTCTGTTTCGGCCGTTCAGCTGGTACGAATTCATCTTTAGGACGACGTTCGAATTCTCCTTCTGGGAACAAGTTGTCTTCGGGTTTCTTCGGTTTTGGTCGTTCAGCAGGTACAAATTCGTCCTTTGGACGCTTTTCGAATTCTCCCTCGGGATGTAAATTATCTTTTGGTTTCTTCTGTTTCGGCCGTTCAGCTGGTACGAATTCATCTTTAGGACGACGTTCGAATTCTCCTTCTGGGAACAAGTTGTCATCGGGTTTTTTAGGTTTTGGTCGTTCAGCTGGTACGAATTCATCTTTTGGACGACGTTCGAATTCTCCTTCTGGGAACAAGTTGTCTTCGGGTTTTTTAGGTTTTGGTCGTTCAGCAGGTACGAATTCGTCCTTCGGTCGTTTTTCGAACTCACCTTCAGGATGCAAATTATCCTTTGGTTTCTTCTGTTTCGGTCGTTCAGCTGGTGTAAATTCCTGTTTCGGGCGTTTTTCGAATTCTCCTTCGGGATATAAGTTATCTTCGTGTTTTATAGGTAATGGTCGCTCACCTCTAATAAATTCTTCATTAACTCGTTTGGTGAATTCACCTTCCACTCTTAAATTATCCTCCCGTCTAATCGTTGTAACACGTTCTACTTTTTCAAATGTGAAATCATTTCTCGATGAAGTACTTCCATAGAAGTCTCCTTCGGTATACAAATTGTCTTCAGGTTTTTTAGGTTTTGGTCGTTCAGCAGGTACGAATTCGTCTTTCGGTCGTTTTTCGAACTCACCTTCAGGATGCAAATTATCTTTTGGTTTCTTCTGTTTCGGTCGTTCAGCTGGTACGAATTCATCTTTTGGACGACGTTCGAATTCTCCTTCTGGGAACAAGTTGTCTTCGGGTTTCTTCGGTTTTGGTCGTTCAGCTGGTACGAATTCGTCCTTTGGACGCTTTTCGAATTCTCCCTCGGGATGTAAATTATCTTTCGGTTTCTTCTGTTTCGGTCGTTCAGCTGGTACGAATTCATCTTTTGGACGACGTTCAAATTCTCCTTCTGGGAACAAATTGTCTTCAGGTTTCTTCGGTTTCGGTCGTTCAGCTGGTACGAATTCATCTTTTGGACGACGTTCGAATTCTCCCTCGGGATGTAAATTATCTTTCGGTTTCTTCTGTTTCGGTCGTTCAGCTGGTACGAATTCATCTTTAGGACGACGTTCGAATTCTCCTTCTGGGAACAAATTGTCTTCGGGTTTCTTCGGTTTTGGTCGTTCAGCTGGTACGAATTCATCTTTAGGACGACGTTCGAATTCTCCTTCTGGGAACAAGTTGTCTTCGGGTTTCTTCGGTTTTGGTCGTTCAGCTGGTACGAATTCGTCCTTTGGACGCTTTTCGAATTCTCCCTCGGGATGTAAATTATCTTTCGGTTTCTTCTGTTTCGGTCGTTCAGCAGGTACGAATTCATCTTTAGGACGACGTTCGAATTCTCCTTCTGGGAACAAATTGTCTTCGGGTTTCTTCGGTTTTGGTCGTTCAGCAGGTACGAATTCATCTTTTGGACGACGTTCGAATTCTCCTTCTGGGAACAAGTTGTCTTCGGGTTTTTTAGGTTTTGGTCGTTCAGCAGGTACGAATTCGTCTTTAGGACGACGTTCGAATTCTCCCTCGGGATGTAAATTATCTTTTGGTTTCTTCTGTTTCGGTCGTTCAGCTGGTACGAATTCATCTTTAGGACGACGTTCGAATTCTCCTTCTGGGAACAAGTTGTCTTCGGGTTTCTTCGGTTTTGGTCGTTCAGCTGGTACGAATTCGTCCTTTGGACGCTTTTCGAATTCTCCCTCGGGATGTAAATTATCTTTCGGTTTCTTCTGTTTCGGTCGTTCAGCTGGTACGAATTCATCTTTTGGACGACGTTCGAATTCTCCCTCGGGATGTAAATTATCTTTTGGTTTCTTCTGTTTCGGCCGTTCAGCAGGTACGAATTCGTCTTTCGGTCGTTTTTCGAACTCACCTTCAGGATGCAAATTATCCTTTGGTTTCTTCTGTTTCGGTCGTTCAGCTGGTGTAAATTCCTGTTTCGGGCGTTTTTCGAATTCTCCTTCGGGATATAAGTTATCTTCGTGTTTTATAGGTAATGGTCGCTCACCTCTAATAAATTCTTCATTAACTCGTTTAGTGAATTCACCTTCCACTCTTAAATTATCCT